GAGGGTGATAGCACTGGTTTCTGATAAATCTTCGATAGAAGGATGTCGGACCCAAAAATTATCTCAGCTCGGTGAATGATTATGGTATGACCTAGCTGATAATGATCTCTATCTTTATGGGATCCATCTGAATGCCTGGACTAGACATGATGTAACCCAGAAAGCATATCTGACTTGTCATGAAGTGACATTTCTTCAGATAAACATATAGTTTCTAGACTCACAATACCTTGAATACTGCCTTCAGGTGATGCAAGTAATATTCCTCCGACCAGTTGTATGCTAGAATGTTGTCAAAATAGACGACAAAATTTCCAATGAGAGGTTGGAATACCTACTTCATTAATCTCATGAAAGTGCTAGGTGTGTTAGACAGACTGAAAGACATAATGGTCCACTCATAAAGTTTGTCCCACGTTTTGAAGGCGGTCTTCCACTTGTCCCTTGACCTCATCAGTATATGGTGATATTCGTTGTGCAAGTCTATCTTGGAGAAGATATTAGCTCCATGTAGCTAGTCCAAGAGATCATCCAAGCGAGGTATGGGAAATCAGTATTTAATGGTAACCTTGTTTATGGCTCGACTGTCGATGCACATTCGCCACGATCCATCCTATTTGGGCACCATTAGGGCTGGAACCGCACACGAGCTAGTGCTTGCTCTGACTAGCTACCATGTAATGAGGTCTTGTACTTGACGTTGTAGTTCTTCATACTCTGCAGGCCTTAATCTGTTAATGGTCGGTTTGGCAATACAGATCCTATTATAAGGTTGATGGCTTATTTAATGTCTCTTAGTGGTGGTAATCCATTTGGTAAGCTGTCGGTCATAAAATCCTAAAATTCCTGTATTAATGGTTGAAATATTGTTGGTACCTCTCTTCCTACCTCACTTCCTTCCAAAAGAACTAACGCTAGTATTACAAAGGCATCTCTAACATACTACAAGAAAGTGGTACGAGGAACTAATGATGCCTCTGCATTGCTCCCGCCTCTGACATTCTTAGCAAATAGTAAAACTATACGTTTCCCAACCTCATTGAAAAAATAAATTTTTTGAACCTGTCGTGTTGAGTTTTGCGATCAAATTGCCAAAGCCTACCTAACAGAATGTGGCATGTGTCCATAAGAACAGCGTCACGCCAAATATGTTCATGTAGCTGGTCTCCAATGGAGAACTCAACCAGGTTCCGCTGATCTACACGTATCTAGTTTCCCTTCTTCAGCCAAGTAACGAAATATGACTAGGGATGTTTCTGTGCATCCAATCCTAACTTTTTTATCAAGAGCGTGGATACCACGTTCTCGTAGCTACCACTATCGATGATCAGATTTCAGACCTTTCCCTTGACGATACACTTGGTGCAAAAAATGTTATGCCTTAAGCCAGGATTGGTTTCGCACAGGCTCAGACTGTAGTATTCTTCATGGCTAGTGTTTCATCATCTCTGTAGTAGTCATGACACCGAAAACACTTCATGGCTGGCACTGTGTTGGCGGAACTATCTTTTTCTGGCTTCTCATGCTCTGATCTTTCTTGTCAGTCCCTTGTCCAATTCTGTTATTTCCTCTCAAGCTACCCTTGTGGGCAGTAGTAGCAACAGATGACTGCATAGTTGAAGATGGTTATCTGAACGATGATTGTTGCCTACTTTACTTTTGTTGTCTCTCCACTTTCAGGGTTGTGTATAGACATCCCTCAACATCCAGTATGACTGTAGTTGTACCACATTACTAAATGTGGGTTTTAAGCCTCCGATATATCTGATGATCGTGTGCTCTTCAAGCTCTATCATCTTGCACTTTAGCTACAGGTTGTCAAACTAGGCCATGAACTCCTTAACTGAAAGATCTCTTTGCTACAAGTTGCGGAATTTTAGGAACATGTCCTGGCGATACTGCGGTGGGAGATAATTTTTTTTAATTTCCTTCTTCATTTTCTCCTACTTAGTTATTTTTTCACTTCCCTCCTCTACTTTTGTAGATTCTCCAACCATAAATTTTTCTTTAGTTTAATTGCAGCTAGCTTGACTCACTTGTCTTATGGTACGTCTTTATATTCGAAAATTCGTTTGATTGTTTGCAGTCAGTCGATAAACTCATCGAGGACCATGCTTCCCAAGAACTATGGGAGGTCCATCATGATGTCAAAGTCCCTATGACCTCCAAAAGAGTCCTCTCTCTGCCTCCTCTAATATTGGATACCAAAAAGATGCGACCGATATTTTTTGTCCCTATAATCTTCCATGTGGAACGGATTAAGATCCTCGTCTTTGTCTTCCCTGCGACTCTCGATCACAGTCGAAGGTAATCTCTTCCGGTTTCTCGTCATCTAACTCGGTTAGTCTCTGCTGTAGACGACAAATTTCACGATGGATCTCTTCCCGAGTAGAGCTTGAGTTGAGAATTTGAAGAAAAAAAAGTTGATGGAGGTGAATTGGGCAGGGGCAGAGACTAGGGAAACCTTATGATAGGACTAGGGTTGAGCTAGTTCTGATAACAAATGATATTGAAACTAGTTAGAATGTCACATAATACATAAAGTAAACTTTTATTAAAATAAAATTAGTGGCACAACATGACTCAACTAAATGGAAATACAAGAATAGATGAATCCCTACCTAGAGCTATAGGAAGAAATTCGAAGGCGGTAGCAAAGTTGGCGGGGTAAGTGGCCGTTGGGTAGGTAGGGGGAGTGTGTGTTTTTGGTTGTAGGTGGATTAGAAGGCGAGATCGTAGAAGAAGTAACTAATGATGAAGTTTGAAGTTTACAACACCACCTTGGAGCAAGATACAACCAAAATACCACCTGCCGTCAATTACAACCCTAATAAAAAGGAAAAGACTCCACACAGGAAATTAGAAAACGACTCTAGTGGAACTGCTTCCCACACAACTAAGGGACAACTATTTATAATCTCCTAATTCTACACAAGAGGAAATGGGTGGAAAAAACAATAAGAATCCATAACACACTTTCCAGAAAATATTAGGTGCGAAAAGCTCAGCTGAATCGCAAGAATTCACTATCCCGCCCTCTGTTGCAGGTTCACCCGCCTTCGCGAGGACTTAGGACCTCATTCCGCTTCACACAATTTTGTGGGGCTTTGGCCCCGCTGTTTCGGGACACTATTCTGAGCCCGATTTTGGATGCCAATCCTATCACCCGCATCAGTGAGGCTTCAACATGTAAACATCACAGCAATGCATGTGTTCTCTGTGGACGAAGGAAGAAGAGGAAGAAGCGAATAAGGCTCGCAAGCAAAGTCGAGGAGGTAACCCTAGCTGAGCAGCTTAGGGAGGAGGAAGAAGTGTGTCATGCCTTGTAGGTGAGCTGCACATGCGCCCTACACAAAGCTGGATAAGGAAAAGTTCTTTGCGTGGAGGGAAGAAGCTTCGTGCAAGAGAAGACCGAACCAAACAACAAAAGAAAGTGAATGTTAGGGTTTTATTTCTAACAAGTAAATGATTGGTAATGCAAATGTGAAAGAGAGACATTCAAAATTCTTGGTGAGTAATTGCTTTCTTATATTTATTATATAAATAACTTATAAAAAAAAAGACTTGTATTATTGTCTTAAAAATACATGTTTTCTTTTTACATGCATATTAAAAATTAAATGATCTTTGAAATGGAAATAACTTAAACTAGAAATAGTAAATAGTTATTCAATGACCTTAAATGGATATAAAAAAGGAAATGAAATATAAAAGATTAAGTCAGCAAGAATTTCCCCTTTATGGTATTAGTTGGAGACGATATCATACCCATGCACGAATAAGAAAATGAAAATGGTAAAGATATACAAACTTTTGAGGGTACCTAAAGAGTACAAACTTTTGAGGGTACCTAAAGATTCTTTTGGGTGTGATGGTGATCCTAATATGATTTCTAAAAGAAATAAATTAATTAATTAAAATAGGAAGGGTTATTTTAAAATGAAAGTTTACAATTTGATTAATTAATGAATCACTTTTCTTTGGGACAGTCACGCATAGCATTGACATATTAATTTAATGCATAATAAAATTATAATTGATCACTAAGTTGTGATCAACTTACTGTTAAATTTAATTATTTCTTTTAGACAAGACTATATTGACATGACTGAGAGGAGGGAGTTGGTTGACAAGAGAAGAACTACTGATATGATGTACTAGGTTGTTTGTTATGATTCTAATGTTGTATTTTGATGGTTGAATTGCAATATTATTTACTATCAGACTATGTTCCTACTTTTGTTCAATTTGATTATTGTTTAGTATATTTTTTTATTTTTTTAGTGACTTTTTATTATTGAAAGTTATGATAATTTATTGTATAAAGTAAGAAAAATGTTATTACCGTCCGGCCGTCGTTCTCGACTTCATTAATTCTAAGCAATGAGGTCGGGTTGTGATAAAACCTAGCTAATTAATCCTCTAACATAGAACCCATCAGGCATGTTTGAGTCAAAAACATTACCAGCTCCAGCCACTGGTAAGTGGCAGAAACTCAGCTCCATGAACAAATATGATGGCATTTTACACCAATTAAATATTTAAAAAATAGACACCATAAAAATTTAGCATTTATCAAGTTGAAGGTTATCAAATCAACAATGGCAGGTTCTTTATCAATAATACATCTTAGATAAACAATTTTTAAATGACAAAGTTCTGTAAGAATTTTTTAGCGATACCTACAATGCATAGTAGATGTTGGAGCATCTCCATGACAAATAACAGTATTTATGCTGAAGTCAAATTTGTGTCATAAAAAATTCCTAATAATTTATTTTTAAAGGCAGACACAAATAATAAAGCTCTACAATATATAGATACATAACATTCACAGATAGACGAGAATAATCATCACTGGCCCATCTTAAGGATACACAGCTCAAATAAGCTTGCAAAAACTTCACTATTGTAACAGTATGCGATGACCAGCTCTTAAATTTTCAACTTGTAGGCGATTGAAAGAACATGAAGGATCGTTTGAGAAAATGAAGATTTACCTGCCACAGAAATTCTTCTATGTCGGGGTCTGACCTTAGAAGGGAAAGGATTTTGTCACTGTCAAAGAAGAAACAGCGCACCACAGATTCTGTAATCATGTCGCAAACATAAGGTTTTCCAACGAGAACTTCATAAAGTCCCAAAGTATTTCCATGAGAAAAAGTTGGATGCAATGAAAACTTGTTACGAAGGCCCCTACTTTCCCACTGTATAACAAAAACATATATATATATTCATAAGCCCTACATGAATAAGAAAAATATTGTTGTACCACTTCAGTGCTGAAGACCTTCCAAAAATTGGTAGGAAATACAATATTAAATGACAAAATAGAGTGGCTCAAACATGCAACGCATTGTTTTGAAGCAAATGGAAGAAAAGACCAGAAGGCAGTGTTCAAGCCCACACCGTAACTAGAAAAGAAATGACAAAACTGAGTGGCAAGCTATACGTGCAAACCTTAACAACGCCCATTGAAATAAGCCAAATTCCATTTGGCTGAGACTCCTCCTTGTACAAGGTTGTACCACGCATTTTAATTACTTCTTTTGTGGAACTACTAAGGGATTCTCGCACACCAGCAGAAAGAGCTCCAAGTAAAGGATGGGCTCCAATTAGATCCCCCACATTTGGCATTTTTACTAAAGGAGGATTCCTTAGAAGCATTTTGAAGTCGCTCTGTCATGACAGAATACTTTTCTCAGCAATAGATGCAGAAACTAAATTGGATGGAACAATTTCATGGGCATCACAAATAGTTCACGTACCTGCACCGCATCATCAAGATGAACCATCTCCTTTTCTTCTAAAAGTCCAACCTTCTGAAGATTTTGAACATATTCACTCAAATGTTTCAGTATTGAATATGTTACCTGCCTTGTCTTCACAACACGGAGCACCTAACGATATTCCAAATACATAAACAGATCATGGGTGATAATGGATGCTCTCATGTAACGGTAAACTAGATTTATCATAACAATTGCCTAGAATAATTATGCAAAAACAATAAAACTATTCATAAAATATAAAAAATAGCAAAATGGGTCTCTTATTCTCATCAAACAACTTGCAAATTTTATGTCTGTGCCCAAGCAGGTAAGCATGTCACTTGATTGGTGCATCAGGTGCATCACAGTAGCTGAGTTTGATAATACGAAGGGAGCAAAAGAGGGTTTTAGCGGAACAGTCCACATCTAGAAACAATACTACAATTTATCAAAATAGGATATGGGAGAAAATAATGAAACCTGAGGTAAATTTATTCTGACATCTTCTAAGAACTTCATCGCATCTTCCCCCTCTTCATTGCTTTCAATAATAACCGTAGAAGCAATTTCACTATCACCTAAAAAGAAACAGCCACCAATGAGAATAGATTCTCCATGTTAGTACTGTTACAAGGGTAACAGTCTTTCTGTTTTGCTGCTTCTAACATAGTGTTGAAATTTTGCAGCAAAAAGCATCTCTCGGATGCAAATAAGCAAAAATATATACAAAAATATAAAGATAACGCGAACCATTCATCTTGAAAAGGCCATTAGCATAAAATAAAAAGAGAAAAGGAGGCGGAACATGATTAGTCCGACCAGGATAAATTCAAGCCTGATGCAATTCCCTAAGAAATTCACCAAAACAACTATGAAAGTTTTTCAATTAGTTTTCTTATTTGAAAATACAAAATTTTTACTAAGTTGTTAGTCTAACATCATTGGGATTCCAAAGTAATGATTATTGCGAACTTCTTAAAGATTTCATTTCAATTAGTTTTCTAATAAGAAAACACAAAATTTTTACTAAGTTGTTAGTCTAACATCATTTCAAAATTGATAGATTTTTCTAAGGAAGCTTTCATATAGAAGGGGTACTACTGAGGATTATAACATATTTGTCCATTTGTTAATGCATTCATGTAACAAAAACATTGTGTCAATTTTTGAATAAAGAGTCGAAAGATGGTGTTTGGCTGCAAATAGAATTTAGCATTATTAGCATTAGTAAATCTGTTAAATCCACCGTCTTCCTGGATTTAGTAAATCCAAATTTAAGCTGAATAGAAAATAAATTTTGAGACCCTAAATCTGAAAATTCATAAATCCATGAAACACTTACATTTTAAGATTTTATTGGATTTAGTAATTCAGTGATAAATCCAATTAAAAGGCGATATCAAACACCCATTAAGCAATGAAATAGATTTATCAAGGGAGTTTACAAAGCAGCCGAGCCTGTTTTTCAGCAAAGTGTATTAGAAGTCAACAATGTACTAATTTAAAATTTTAAAAGGATAAATGGCTTCGCAATGGTCATCATCTTTTAATCAAATTCATTAGATTTGTGAGCTGAGGATGAGAAAAGACTACAAATTAGTTTCAAAAAGATTTGGACAACTTAATTTATTTACTTGATAATTATTTTCTAATTCAACCAAATATGTGAAAAGTGAAAGGTTGTATTATGTAGTCGACATCCAACGTAAAATTTGTCAAAAAATCATGACATGAATCCTTCTGATCATGAAATAAATACTATGACGTCCCATGGACGCAACACGCTATATGGTCTGAATACAGTGAAAAGTATGCAAGAGCCGCTACACCGCGCCCAGGTGTAGTGTTAAATAAGCAAAGATTCTCACATTACGGAAGAATGTGGATAAAGAAGTTAGTCCATGAAACTAATATTAGGATGAGATCTTATAATATATGTACTCTCACAGGTAAATTAATAGAATTAGTTGATATTATGATTTATAAAAAGATAAATATCTTATATATTCAAAAAAATAAATGAGTTGGAGAAAAGACTAAGGAGATTGATAGCTTAGCTTTTAAACTTTGGTAATCAAGAGTCACACTAAAAATGATATATGTGTATATATAGAAAAAAGTTTGAAAGATAACGTTGTAAAAATTAATAAAATTGGAGATAAAATTATAGCCCTCAAGATTATTGTTGGTGGTAAAATTATTAATATTATAAGTGTTTATGCTCTTTAAGTAGGTTTAGATATAGGTTATAAAGAAAAATTATGGAATAACCTTGATGAATTAATACAAATTATATATCTTAAAGAAAGAATCTTTGTGGAGGAGATTTAAATGGAAATGTAGGTAAAGTGGTAGAAGATTTTAGAAATATTCATGGTGGCTACGGTTTTGGAGAGATTAATGAAGAAGAGAGAGTCATGTTAGATTTTGTTTTAGCGTATGATTTTGTTGGTGTTAATATTTTATTCAAAAAAATAGATAAACATATTATTATTTATAAGAATGAATTTAATGAAACACAAATTGATTATTTTCTTATGAGAAAAGATTGTCGAGAATGTAAAGATTGTAAGGTTATTCCAAGTGAGAATTTAAGGACTTATCATCGATTATTAGTTCTGAATTTTAAGATGAAGAGTTATAATATAAAGAATACTAGGAATCATTGTCATAAAATTAGATAGAGACAACCAAAAGTCACAAATAAAATTATTTTTATGAGTAAATTTTAAGATTTCAAGATTTGAGACATTCATGAAGAGTGAATTTTATGTGGAATAAAATAACAAACATTATTAAACAAGTGGCAAAAAATGTATATGAAAAATCAAAAGGAAAAGTTTCTATAAATAAAAATAGTTGGTGGTGGAATAATAATATACAAAAAAATAAGCTATAATAAATATGTTATAAAAATTGATTTAAAAGTAAAGGCTCAGAGAACTGGAAAAAATATAAAATGATCCATATGGAATCTAAGAGAACAATCTTTGACGCTAAAAATTCTGCTTTTAGTGATCTATAAAATAGATTACATACTAAAGAGTGAAAAACATAAGTAAAAACTAGTCAAACAAAGAGAAAAGAAAAATAAAAATTTAACTCAAGTAAAGTGTATTAAAGATGAAAATTAAATAGTATTTTTCTTAGAAAAAGATATTCAACATAAGTGGGTGTGTTAATTTGATAAAATTTTTAACGATATTTCTGAAAATACAATCAGCATTAGTGATATTAATATAGTTAATAATAATAAAATGATTCATTTTTACCATTACTTTAGTAAAAAAGTTGTTTTGGAGACTTTATAGAAAATCAAGGGTAGAAAGTCTGTAGGATCTGATGACATCACAATTGAAGTGTGGAAATATTTAAGAGATTTGGGAGTTTCTTGGTTTACTAAACTCTTTAATATTATTTAAAAAACTAAAAAGTTGCCAAAGGAGTTGAAGGATAATATTTTGGTCCCCTTTTTAAAAATAAAAGAGATGCACAAGAGTGTGCAAATTATAAAGGAGGTAACCAGTTATAGAACATGGAGATTGCAATCTCATAAAAAAAATACTGAAAAAGGTGGGCCAACAAGCAATATTCTTCTCAGACACTGAAATTTCAAATCGTGCAGGAAAATACAAATTTACACTAGTTGGAAGTTCCAATTAGGTTGCCTTAAGATGAAGATTATCAGGAAATTTTTTGAAGATTTTAAACTAGTTGGGGATTGACAGGTGAGTTGTTTCAACGGAAGAGTTTGGCTTAAGATGGAGATTATCAAGAAAATTTTTGAACATTTCAAACTAGTTGGAGATTAGCAGATGAATTTTTTCGACGGAAGACATGTTATGATACAGCTGAGCATAGAAGAAGATTACACAATAATTTTCTTAAAAAAATTCATCACAATTAAGGACAATCATATGAAATTTCTCAAATGGAACCATGATTTTGATCATAGTCAATAACCCACAATTGCACCTATCTAGTTCTCATTACCTGAACTTAAGCTTTAATTTTTTGACCTGCCTATCTTATAAGCAAGTGAGACTATTCTTGAAAAATCTTTGCAGGTAAACATACCTACAGTTCATTTCTCAAGATCCTCTATTACAAGGATTTTGATTAAAAAAAATATTACACTACTAGATATAGAAGAAGTCTGGCTTAGATCTGCTCATATGGTTATTAGCAAAAAAATCATTATGGGATAAAAACATTACTATAAGCATTGCAAAATGTTTGGACACCCGCAAGAGAAATGTTTCAGATTACACCCACAGTTAAGAACAAATAGTCAAAAGCAGGAACATGCTGTCAGTGCACCCTATGTGCCTGAATGCGCTCCCAACAAACCTGATGACAGCCAACCTGAGGAGGGAATATCACAAGACAGAAGTTGATATCTGCCCCTGGGAACCTTTTCTCCTGACTATACTATAAGAGATAATGTTTGGACCGAAAATCAGGATAGTCCCGCAGCTCATATTCAGAAAACATCAGGTACAAAAGTGACAATTCATACTTCACATAAGCTGGAACTTATCGCTATGACAATGACTGTCTTTACTTCTACTGTGGTTCTAATATCTAATCAGACTGAAGATCGCATGAGTCAGTCTTTTAGATGAAGAATGACAAGTTTACACTTCTCGGCAGAAAAAGGCTGGGGACACACTCCAATTTGAAAACTTAATGGATAATATTTTGGTTACTCCTGCAATGGCACGACACTTCGAAGTTTGTTATCTGGCTTCACTCCTAAAACAAGAGAAAGAGACGGGACTAAATCGGCTTGTCCCTAGCTACTTGTTTTCTGCATATTTTATTTTTTTTGAGTTTATCTGTATCTTTATTGTTGGGGTATTACTGTACTTGGTATCGTATGGGTAGGGTGCCTCTATTGGGCCCTATAAGACAACCTTTATATATCTTTTCTACTTCAATAACTTTAGTATATTTAATTGAATGTAGCGAGCACATGGATGATATATTTATGTTGACTACTTGTACGTTATGACTGACTATAATAAAGTCACTCATTGATGCTATTAATAGAGAAATTCTAAAGTACATGTGCACTTATATCGAAAAGAACATTCATATTGATGTCTTAATTGAAATAATTTATAGACGGTGCTCATATGACGGTTGTATAAATATAAAATGATATTCATATGCTATTGATATAGAAAAAATCTTTTAATAATATCAAATATTTTTATTGATTTATTAAAATCATGACTAACACGTATATTGTTCCATTTTCTCTTGTATTATTATCGTTTATGAGTATCAGTATTTACTAGCTTGTGAAACAAAGGGTCTATTTGGGGCAGCTTATTAGGTTGCGGCGGCGTTCTCAAAACTCCGATACGCACATTAGTATTTGCTAAGGGTCTTTCGATACGCACATTAGTAATGTTTGGAAACTCCATTCGCATCGCGTTCTAGTGACGCTCCGATACACACATTAGTATTTGCCAAGGGTCTTTCGACGCGCCCTAGGCCCCACGTCCTGCTTCTGCGACTAGCATTTTAAGAAATATTTCCTTTCGTGCCCTTCTCAGCTCTCCATTGCCCTCTCTCTCACTGTCTCCCTCCCCGATCTTCACCCTCGCGTAGATCAGATCCAGATCGCTTGTAAGATCCGATGAGATCTGTTTACTCCGGTGAGGATATGCGAGTTTTTTCGAGTATTTATTGTCTGATCTGTTTTTTCTATCCCAAATTTTGGCAAATTTCAATTGATGATACAAGTAG